TTTCCTCCTGTTTCCCTTCATTAAGAATGTCTTCATGACAGCATTTCTGATGAGGTTTCAGTGAACTGTGGACCGTCGCTCAGGTGCTGTGTCAGGTCTGTGATGGATTTGACCAGTAAGTGTTTAAAGTTACTGGTTTTAGAGCATGTGCAGCGCCATCTTGTGCCAGTGCATTGTGTGACGTCACCCTTTGCCTTGTTTGGATGTTGAACTGGACAGAGTCAGAGAGAGGCGGCCTCATGAAGGAAGCTCATGTTGAGCCTGGCAAAGAGTTTTGGGAGAGTGGCGCTGAGAGTGATGATGCAGATGTAGAAGTAACTGTCTCTCAGGATCAAAACAGCATCGCGTCCATTCATGAGCTGGGAAAGCTGTTTCATGAGCGCTGCGAGGAAGGTAGTGGCAAATGTGTAGTCCAGCCATCGACCATTGAGACAGCTGAAGAAGGACTTGGCCGGGTCCAAATACATCGATGGCCATGACCTCACCTGGAACCCTCTGGTTCGGTCGCCATGGAGTGCAACACCTCCATCCACGCACGTCTCACCACTGCTACGAGTGCACTCCATTTTTGCATGGTACACAGCTGGTCTGGAACATCTGTTTACAAGAGTGGGGAGTATTCAGAGAGCATATTCCATCCCTGATACACTCAGTCTCACACACACACAGCATGAGCTGTAAGATAGGAGCTACGCTCAAGACCTGAATGAGGTCCTGCAGAGGAAGCACCACCAGGCTGAAGGAGACCGCCATCCTTCACCACATCACCACTCTGCACCTGTGGTGACCTGATGATGAGGTGTGAGCATCCTCCCCTGTAGAAGACAGCAGTCAGCCCCTGCTTCATTCAAACTCTGCTGTGTTTGAGCTCCTGTGAAATTCGACCTTGACAAAGTGCTCCTACAAAAGTATGAAACCTCAAAAGTTAAACATACAGGACGACCAAGAGGGAAAAGTCCCTGTAGGTTTCATCAATTTATCGCAGCACCAGAAGCAGACAGGAAACCAGAGGATGGTGAAAGTGGCACAAACAGCTGTGCTGGAAAGGAGGTCAGCAGTCTGTCATCACACCATGATGTCAGACGAGGCCTCCAAGCTGTGGAGAGGACGTATCTGCCACGCTCAAACACCGGCTCAGCATAAAGGTCAAACCTGACAGAGCTCTCTGCGACGGGACGGCCGTGCAGATGTTCAAATTCAGAAAACCCCAGAGGACAAACGAACAGAGCACAGCAGGTCTAACAGTGTTTATACTGTTCATACTGCAGCACAACGGTACTGAAGAGCTGCACTCTAAATGATTCCTACATTTGTATGGATGTGTGCATGTACATGTCTATACTGTTAGATAGCTATTACTTGCATATTTCCACAGCACATACTGTGCATGCGTGTACATAGAACCTCAGCTACT